GTACACACACAAATAACAGGATCTTTTCGTACCTGTCCTCAAGAGTGGACATAAGTGTTCTTCCTATAGCAACCCAAGGCTCCACTCATATCTCACACTGGCCTTGATAGTTTAAATGACAGCTGTATGCCAACACTCAGCATTTCTAATGACTAACACCCCTTGGTCTCCTATTTGTGGTTCAGTGTGCTTTCTATACTGTGTGTTTGCTCTTAATGTTGTCTTTCACAGAAATAACTTCACTCTGCCATAATGGTGAGACTATTTGTGATTCTCCCCCCAAAATGTGTCTTATTTTGTAATTATTTAGACCCGGGATGCGACACAGTGGTAAAGTGCTTTCCTCACATGCATGGGACCTTGGGTTACAATACCTTAGGTACAGGAACACTCATGGACTTCTTGCCTTTAATCTTAAGACTTTGAAAGGGGGAGGAGGTGATCACAATGACCCTTACCTAAATAGAAATGGTGGACAATATTGGTATTGAATGTCTTATTAGGCCATTTTTCATCTTAGTAGCTCTGAGAATGACAGACATCAACATGTGTCATCATTCTCAGGTCATGTGGATCTCCTCATCTCACCACATCACCCACAGGTAGCCAATGGCAGTATATGTGCAATGAGATTCATGCATTCAAAGACTGTGAGAGACACAGAAGGCAAGTGATTCTGCGTGTGACTGGTAAATAGCTCTCCATGGATTTAAGGGCTATGCTTGTGAAAGAGGTCTCAGAGGAACCCAGACAAACTATACCGCTTAAAGGCCTCCAGTGAAAAAAATCTAGATGTAGCAATTTTATTGTATGTTTTGCTTATAAACACTCAAAAGCCATGTAACCTATCACATTGATTAAAATCACCCAGTACACACTCTGGTTTCCCTTTTCTTTCTTTCTTTCTTTCTTTCTTTCTTTCTTTCTTTCTTTCTTTCTTTCTTTCTTTCTTAATTCTTTCTTTTTCTGCTGGACTATATTCTGAACAATATGGCAAGTAGGGGAACCATCAGAAATGGGAGCATATTTGGTTTACACTCTTGTGACATGAATTTTATAGTATCATATGTAGAGGGGTTATAGTACATTAAGGGGCTGCGGATACGGTGACATGGGTAGAGAGCTCACCTAGCACACAGGAAATCCTGGGTTGAAGCCCAGTTTAACACACCAGGTGCTGAGAAGCACTGGTGTAGAACCAGGTGGAGTTTGGAGGATCAGAATGTCAAGGCTATGATCATCTTGAGCAAAATAGTCATGTTGAGGTGAACTTTATCCACCTGAGACTCTGCCTATGAGAACTTAAAGAAAAACTCACAGCCCTGAATGGAATTCTTCAGAGCTATTTTGAAGAAAACAAAAGATGACCAGCCTCTCATTTCTAGTTGACATATAATTTTTACCTCAGTTGTATACAGGCATAATTATTACAATAATGGTCATTGATGGGTTTTACAACTTCAGTGTCTCAAATATTAACAACTAGAAATCACTAAACACTTTTTACAAGGGAGGAAACTGGCAGGCTATATTAGCATATGCCTGTTACATCAGCACTTGGAAAGCTGAGGTAGGAGGATCTTGAGGCCAGTCTGGATTATATAGTGAGTTCCAGGCAAACCCTAGGTGTGTATAAAAACCTGCCAAAACAGAGAGCCAGACAGGTAGTCAGGCAGGTAGAGAAAGAAAGCCGAAATAAATCTAATTAATAAATGATACTACTTCTATTAATTAAATAGAGTATTACGGCCCATTTCTGGTAACAAGGAGGTACAACTGTATTTTTGCCAGTACAGTATGATGTTCCTAGTTTCTTTTTTTTCTGGTTTTTCGAGACAGAGTTTCTCTGTGTAGTTTTGGTGCCTGTCCTGGATCTCACTCTGTAGCCCAGGGTGGACTCGAACACACAGAGCTCCACCTGCCTCTGCCTCCCAAGTGCTGGGATTAAAGGCATGCACAACCACCGCCTGGCTGTTCCTGATTTCTTATGGGATGTCTATTTTTCAATTTTTTGAAAACTTTGAAGGGTAGCTAATAAATGTCAACACCGATAATTGGTCGAAAACAAACTAATGTCTTTGTTACTTTCTATTGTTGTGAAGACACCATGACAAGGTGGCTTACAGAAGCACTATTGGAGACCTACTGTTTCAGAGGGTAGTTAGAGTCTGTGACCACCATGGAGGCTGCATGGCAGCAGGAAGGCAGGCATGGGCTGGAACAGGTGTTGAGAACTTATAACTGGACACACAAACATGAAGCACAGAGGGGGGAGCACACTGGGAATGGCACTGCATGAGAGTTTGAAACCTCAAAGCCCACCCGCATAGTGACACACCTCCTCCAACAAGGCCACACCTCCTAATCCTTCCCAAACGGATTTACCTACTGAGGATCAAGCATTTATATATATATGAGCTACTGGAGCCATTATTATTCAAACTACCACACACTTATACAGCTTGAGACAGGAAAACATTATTTCTATGTTTGGAATAGCTTTGCTTTCCATCTCATCTATAGCAAGAGGTTTATAGACAAAGATTCACTTTGTAAGTAACTGAATGACAGAATGCTACCACACTGTCAATGAAAATCTAAGTGAGACTCAGTTCCTCCTGACTTCCAACAAGACATTAGAGAAATGAAGTGTAGTGCTGGAGAAGAGACCTTGGGAAGAGTGCTCAGTGTGCTCCTCTGTGGTGAAGACAGATAACCTCCCACTCACCAGCAGTGCTTTCTCCATCCACAGGGACTATTCATCTAATCAGGAGTCCTCCCAGTTACAAAGCCTGGACAATGTAACACTCGTGCTGTGAGAATGACCTTGAGCAGGAATCTTTGAATTAAGAAATAGTTATGATGCAGGACCAACTGTGAATTGGTTTACTGCTTGTTCGGCTTGCCCTGTTGACAGCCCAAACTGCTCTTCATAGCAGAAATATTTTCACCTTCCTACACCTCAGTTTCAGAGGGGACTTCTTTTCCCAGAACATAAAAGACCTGAAATGCTTCAAGACTGTCCAAAATTTTATTGACACATGAATGCTTCTTAGCATGTACTGACTGTTCCCAGAAACATCTCTTCAGAATGCCCATTCAAGTAGGAAACCCAATCCTTTAGGAAAAAAAGAAGATTTATTGGCTGGGTTGTAGTGGCACATGCCTTTAATTCCAGCACCTGGAGCATGAGGAAGTTGGATTTCTGTGTGTTCAAGGCAAGATTGGACTACAGACTGAGTTTCAGGACAGCCAGGCCTACAGAAAAACCCTGTCTTGAAAACAAACAAACAAACAAACAACAACGATTGATTGATTCATGTGTTCTTGAGTGTATGCTATGTGCACCATGAGTACTTAGGTGCTTGTGCAGGTCAGAACAGGGGGATGCATGCCCTCCAACTGGGGTTACATGTGGAAGGAAACCCCTCAGTATGGATGTATGTCCATGTCCTCTGAAAGATAGGCTACTGTTCCCAACTGCTCAGCCATGTCTTCAGCCATACAAAGCCCACTCTTGTTTATCTGCACTCTCTATATAGTTTAGCAATTGTTTTGGGCACACCCTTTCAGGTCCACACACTCTGTAAAATAAAAGTGTATTTAATAAGAATCTGGGGAAGAACACCTCAACATTTAAAGATTCCAGGTGTGCTAAACAATGATGATGTGGCCCAAGTGCATGTGCATGGGCAAGGTTATACTTTGTTCAAGGCCTTAATAAAGTCTGCATGTTTGCCTCAGAGCCAAAGAAGCTGTATGGCCAGCAGAGAACAGGTAGAGCTCTATTTGAGGACAGGACAGAGAATCACCTGTGGTGCTTTTTTCTCAGTAGGCTCAGAGCCATACTCACTTGGGCTGCACTTGTGAGAGAATGCCTGGGTAGACACATGCCCTTGGGATGCCCAATCTACCCAAACACATGCTTGTGTATTTACTAATGGAGCAGGAATCTCACCCTTTTCTGATAGGCCTCTGAGCTGGAACTGACCCGAAAGCCTCCTCCCTGAGGACTAGCTATCATGGCTGACTACCTTTGTTGAGTACAAGCTTGCAAAAGAGGGATGCATCCAGCAGTCCTACCCAGCTATGAAGCCTGTGAACCACAACAACCAACATGGTCAGATAACCTTAAGGGTGCGACTGTGGCACAAACATCAATAATAACCTGCAGATCCTTAATCAGTCTTCAGCCCTGATCAGAAGCAGGGAAATCATACCTGGAACAGGAAACCTAGCCAACTACCCAAGGGTAGAAGTAGTAATGGAATCTGGAGAACCAGTAACTGCCAGTTTACCAAGACAGCGTATTCCCTAACTACATTTATCTTATACCCACAGAGAAGTGTGGTCTCCATGCATCATGATGGAAACTTCCTTTTGCAACAGACAGAACCATTAAAGAAAAGCACAACTAATGAAAATGCAGAATTGTGGAGCCACCTCAAAACGGACACGAGGAACATAGTGGAAGAGGGGAAGAGAGATTGTTAGAACAGAGAATCATGGAGTTTACAGTGAGACTGTCTTCTAGGAATGACAGAACTGCACCCATAAAGTCTCACCACCAAGAGGGCCTAAGCATGAACAGAAGAACAACCGTAACAGATGTGCCAGAGTGGACAGGGAAGGCCTGAGTCACTCAATGCTATAAAAACAAAACAAAAGGAAACAAAAATATAACCTATAGGCAACTAACGGGACAGTGAGAGAAAAGAGCACACCATCTGCTTATCCAATACGAAATGCTCAGTCCAGAAGACATGCATAAAAGTAAGGTTATACTGACTTTAGTAAGATTATAGTGACTTTATTTTTCAGTCACTGTGTGTGTGTATGCGTGTGTGTGTGTGTGTGTGTGTGTGTGTGTGTGTGATCACATTAAAGAAAGAGAGGCCAAAAATTTGACAGTGAGCAAGAAGGAGGGGTGTATGAAAGGGTCTCAGGGGACAAAGGGAAGGGGAGATGACATAATTATATTATGATCTGAAGGAATCAAATAAATGACTGAAGGAAAGGATGAAAGGCGCCTGCACCAGCCAGTGTAGGACAGGCGAATATTATTAGGCAGAACAAGAGCTCAGGAGTGTGAGGAAGATTTTGAGAGGCAGACACATGATGATAAGATGAGGCTGTGTGGCCCCTACAGAATTTCTCCAGCCATAGAAAGCACAAGAGCTGTCATGGCAAGAACATGTGGAGGCCTAGGCGTTCATGCTGAAAACTCCATTGAGCTGAACAGACAGATATTCTAATGGATGGATGGGAAAGAGGACAAAGAACATGGAGGCCACCCACACAGTTTTGCTAAGTATCCCCAAACAGGCTGTGCTCATCTTGATGATGTTGGCAGAAACACATGGAACATGTGCTGGTACCCAGAGAGTGGAGGAGGAAAGAGTCACTGAGAGCTCTGTACATACACACCAGAACATCCCAGCCACTGCAGAGGACTCCTGGCCGGGTAAACATACATTCCCGGGATTGAGTTTAGCAGGCTCCCCAGGTTGAGTTCTCTAGTGTAATCAATGGCCAAGGAAGGGGCAGCTGCAGAAAGTAGGGTGCAGTGAGCAGCTGTAGAAAAGGAACTGCCAGAGAAATGGTGGCAGGGATGAAGACAGCAGCTTCGAATCACAGGAGATTAAGAAGACAGCACCTGGAAGGAGGATGTTAGGTCTCCAGGCTCTGCAGGAGGTGGAAAGAGACCTTCAATTTGCTAATGATACAAATGACGAGAAAATGGAAACAGAAGCCATAGGAACAATGTGATCGAGGAATAGCATCACAAACACTAAATGGAAATCCCTGTGTATTCATGATATAGAACTGGATAATGCTTCCTAAGTGAAAAGCAAGTGAATCCAAGATCTTTCTACCTTCAACCCCAGCTCTCTGTGCAATTCCATTCCTGTATAACTGTGAGACATTTGTTTCTGAACCCCAATAGCGTACCAGGTACATGGATACACAGTGGAAAGGAGGTTCTAATATTTGGACTGCAATTGGATTGGGGAATCCAGAGTAGAGCTGCAGGCAGAGATTGTAGGTGAAGATGATTAAGAAATCTCATTTCAAAGAATACAGAAGAGTATTAAAAAGAGATTCTTCTCTCAGGTGGTTCCATGTCCTGTGAGGCTGGCAGTTAAAATAACCAGCATGGACCACAAACTGCTAACACCAGAAAGAAATGTGAGAGGCTACCAAACATTCCAGCAGACAGCCTAACTCACCCTGCATAAAACAGTGGTGTCACTAAGAGCTATAGTCCCAACAGTTGGGGAAAATCAAGGATAGGTGTGAAGCCCTTAATGCATTTTTCCCATTAGTTGTACTGCTGTTTTCCTTGGAACTTGATCATTAGTTCCCATGTGATCAATAGCAGAGTGAAGGTCTGGCATCTCTACTAGTGACCCACAGCTACCCGACACTGCCATTTCTTCTTTTACTCAGCCATCAGGAAAACACTGTGAAGCTATTGTTCTTTATCAGGAAGACAGACATGTACCAAAGCTTTCTGTCTTATGTCTGCACTACCATGCCTATACCTTTGTTCCAGGGAGCAGATTTACACATGGAGGTCTAAGGATGCTAACCTTGGAAACAAAGGCCAGTATTCATATTTAGGTGACTGTATGCAACAGAAAACTCAGTGGGTCAAGAACACTCCTTGCTTGACTAGGGTAGGTCTGGGTACATTTTATCCAAAACCTACCTGTGTTTGGGTCCCAGAGGAAGGCACCTGTTAATAAGCCTTTTATCTCTTGTTCGGGAAAGGAAAAATTGAGCCATACTTACTCATTACCTGATGAGACTTGTCCAGCAACCCTTTACAATGCTCCCTCCTCACTAAGTTATGCTTCCATTCAAACCATGCTGCATTACCACTTACTGGTTGTTAAATTGAAGTCTGTTGAGGTTGAAATGCCAGCTCTTCAGCACAAGCATCACTAAAGCTTTCCCAAATCCCTTCACACAACCCCCACTTGGCTCTTAGGTTTTTCAGGGAGAAAACAAGAAAGCAGTGTAGCTAGTAGCATGCTTCTCTGTTCTTGCAGTTTATTTCTATCCTAACTGCAGAAGGGGTTCGATTCTCCCTCCTCATTTGCAAGGTGGAGGAATTTCTGGAACCCCATTCCTCCTGGTTGTGCCTAGGAAAGCCTCTCTGCCAGTCCTGTCTCTGTTGTGATGCACAGTGAAATCACGATTCTGTCAATAATGAAAATCCTCCTCTGCCTCAAAGCCATTGCAGCCAAGGAGAAGACTTTCTGAGGACATCTGGGAGGGTTCTCTTGCCTCATGGAGATGGAAATGAACACCACAGAGCGGGCAATGAGTCAAGTGGAGAAGCTGGGTGGCCATAGTTCCTACCTCTATAGCACTCGGGTCCTGGGCCTGGTCCTTCTTATTCCTCTTCGAATGACGGGGAAGGTGGGTGTCTTCCTCCTTGTCATTTCTTCTCCTTTTCCTGAAAAGAGTTTTAAAGGGAGAGGAACATCTGTCATCATTCAGCAACTGATCTTTCGGGTGCTTAACTTTCAGCCCCGTTCTGATACCCAAATACGCAGCCTTGTCTGGGGATCCAGCAGTCAGAGCTGCTCTGATGGATTCAGATTCTGCAGGCATATGGCACTAGGCAGTGGAGGAAACATGTCCAACAGGAATTCTACGTATACCCAAAGCCCAAGTTCAAGTACCCCAATCAGAATCTTAATGTGAACCACTGCTTGGAACCAAAAACATAAAGATGTTATGATCAAATGTTGAAACTCTACCTGACCAGGCCCATTGTCCACTGAAATAACCGTTCCAGATTATATGGTTCTCAGCTCTGCCATAGGGCAGCTCTCAAGACAGGTGCGGCTTCTAGCGCCTATTTTCTCTTATGTCTCTTCAGCCAGTGGCTAGGAAGAGACACTTCCTATGTACTGTCAGATTATTCCTGTTGCTATGGAGACAACTATTATGTCATTGTAGCTACTTCAGCCACCACCACACTGTGGCTGATTGCTTCCCTGAAACTGTGTCTAGAAGTGTTTTAATATTTCATTCCCTTACATCTTCTTCCCATGCCCTCTTTCCACATAGAATTAGTTTGTGGTATTTGACAGTATTATTCTTGAATATTTCCCATAATTTATTATAGTGACATTCTAACATCAGCTATTTAATTAAAGATAACTTCTCTATGTTTTTTTTATGTCATATATATGTCTGAGTTCACTCATTTTCCCTAGTTTATAATCTTGCTTTAGTGCCTGCAAGAACACTTCATGGACAGGTATCTCATTTAATTTAAAGACTTTTCAATTAAACATTGTTTAAAAAATTTAACCTGAAGTTGAGTGGTGGTGGCAGCACACGCCTTTGATCCCAGGACTTGGGAGGCAGAGCCACGTGTTTCTTTGTGAGTTCGAAGCCAACCTGCTATACAAAGTGAGATTCAGAACAGGCACCAAAATTACCCAGAGAAACCCTGTCTCCAAAAAATAAAAAGAAAATAATTAACTAGAATATAAAGTAAAAGTTATACCTAGACAAAGAAATGTTTACACACATTTTGGGAAGAATCTATTGCCGGTTACACTTTCAATTTTTCCTAACTTATCTCTTTCCATTGAATGAAATTAAAGTGGACAATTAACTAAATCATAAAAACACTCACGCTTGTTGCACTTGTGATTTAATGTAAAAATTTCTTTAACAAAATTCCTTCACATGGTGAAAAATTATAAAATATTGCATGTCTAAATCAAATGATATCATCATGGTACAGATGCTATATGAATAAAATTATTCAGGAGATTTGTATATACTTTTAATTTGTAAAAAAAAATTAATATAGCCTGTGAGTGTCTTTCCTGAGGTATTTGTACAAAGCAGACTCATTTTATATAGTTTTAGCTGCATAAGGAAAATGAAAGACTTGTGTAATCTGTTGAATTCTTCAGTCATAAGCTTTCATGTGCAGGGATCATGTCCACAATCATAAGAATATGTTCATAAATTAATGCATTCAATATAGTTAAAAAATTTAAAGCTACGTTTAAACGTTTATATCTCTGTGTGTGTCTGTATGCAGACACATGTTATGGTCTATGTGTGGTAGTTGGGAGACAACTTGTTGTATCTGGTCCTTTCCTAATGTCCCATGCAATCTGGTTTGAAATAGACCATCAGGCTTGGTCTCAAGGGCCTTTAACCACTTTTATCATTCAATAATTTCATTCATGCACATGATTTTCTCTGATCAGATCTACCATAAAATTTGTCTTACGTCCCCCCCTGCCACCTGTCTGTCCCAGCTTCATGTACTTTGAAGCATCCTCCTGAGACCATGGAATGGTGCCTGTATGTGCACAGCTTTAAGAGCTTCTACTGGAGCAGGGGTCTCCTCTCAGGAACCAAATCCCTAACAAAACTGGATTCCTCCCCAATAATTGTCTACTGCTGATAGCTCCCCAGCTAGGGATGTGAACTCAGGAACTGCGTCCTAATCCACGCTGAGATTTTTCCCGGACTGATCTTGTGAATGTGTTGTGCATGTGGTCACATCTGCCTTTGAATTCATGTGGGCCACAGTTCTATCGTGTTGAGCAAATGAATTTTCCCTGAAAATGTCCACCTCTGACTTTTACAATCTTTCTTTCCCTTCTTCTCTGACGGTCCTTGAGACTTGGAAGGGACAGATTCTTGGTTTAGATGTCCCATTTGGGGAGAGCATCCCAAGTCTCTTATTCTTTCAAGCTGACCATTGAAGTTTTTGTTTTTAATTGCTATCTACTGCAAAAAGAGGCTTTCACATGACCGTTGAGAGATGAAGTAATGGATGTAAAGAAAAGTTAGAGGGAAGTTTAATATTATTTCCATTAAGCAAAGTAACAGAACTAAATTCTATTTCCAGTGAAACAATTTAAGAGAATTTTGGCTGCCAGTACTTTGGTTGGAGGATTATTCCTCAAGGATTTCATCCACAGTGTCTGTAGGACAATGGAGTCATTATAATCCCTGATTTTCAGAGCAGCAGAGAGGACCAGACTAGGGAGCACTCCACATCCCAAGTTTTATATTTCTTCCTTAGATGGTGGGTTCTTTGAGGCTAACAACTGGGCTCTAGGGTCTACAGGGTTGGGACCCTTGGGCCCTAAGAGGGGTTATTGTCAGAGGTCCAACACCTAGACTCTCAAGACCTCTGGCCCTCCCAGACTCCTGGAATCCTTCCAGGGAGGTGGATCCCACCCTTTTCCATCTCTGGCTCCTCACAGCCTTCTGTCTTTCTTCATCATCAGTGCTCTGGCTCCTCTGTCCTTCTGTTGTCCCTTGTTGCATCCTCTCCTTCTGCTCCCCATCCTTTCTGCCCCAGCCTGTCTGTCCCAAGAACTCTTCCACTGCCCCCTTGCTGCCACTGGTGCTACCACAAGGGCTGCTGCCTCTGCAGGGACAGCAGAGGCTGCTTCTAGGCGTCTGCTGTCTCAGCTTCCCTCTCCTGTTCAAGCTACCAGCTTAGCCCAGGGGGTCATGAAAAACAAAACCCCAGACACCAAATTGGCAGAAAAGACCACAAGGGAGTTATTCTCATGGACCTAACATTACAGCAGCAGAGGGCAAGCTGACTCAGAAAGTGAATCATGCTGCCAGCTCATACAGCAAGAATGGGGGTGTGGCAAAAATCTTTGCATCAGTAACTTCACAACCCTTCATGCTGATGGAGTGTTGTGAACTGCACCCATGGCAGCCATCCCACTGGGCCACCAGGGCATCCCACTGCTGCCCTCTGTCCTGGGTGAAATGGCTGCAGAGCCTTCTGAGGTGTATACCCAGGGCTGTATATTTGCTTTTGATGCCAAAATGCAAACCCATACAAGCTGTTTGAGAACACCCTGGCAGGTAGAGCACCTTCTGGAGCTGGAGATGGTATGCACATGTCTTGGCACTGCAGTGTGCTCAAGGCATCTGTGCACTGCTCCAAGCCACCAGGATACAACCAGGGCATTTGGGAGACTTCCAAACCGAGCCGCTTAAGGCTGACAGGCACAAGCAGACAGACAGCCTGTGACAAAGTGCAGTGTGAGAGTCTGAGTCACACACAGAGAACATTCAAAGGAGATTTACAGTAGAGTCAAGGGAAGCTCCAGATAGCACTAACAGTTCCAGCATTTAACAGCACTGAAAATTATTTACCAGTGATGAGTGGGGCTTAATATCCCGGGCTGGAGTGAGAGGCAGGTCTCTCTGATTTGTCGCAGAAGGACAAGCATTACTTGGCATTTTAACCATAATTGATTAAAAGTAGTTGGTGTGGGATGGTAGCAGTAAAGGACAGACGTTTTAACAGAAGACAGTAAGTGGGGTAGAGTAGGTCTAAAAGCAACCTAAGATGTAAAAGGACATCTAAAGAGCAGTGGGAAATGCAGCAACCACTGTGTCTCCAATTTTCTGTGCTTTGTCCAGGTAGATCACAGATAATGCAAGGAAAGAGGTACTGTAGAAATCAGGCAGGGGTGTTTTTGTTCTATGGCAGTGAGCAAGACTTTAGTCCACATGACAGAAATCCCAGGAGACAGGGTGGCAAGGAAGGCTTAGTGCACACATAAAATATTCACGCTGAAGCCAGATGTGGTGGTATATGTATTTAAACTCAGCAGTCAGGAGGCAGAGGCATGTGGATCTCTGAGTTTGAGGCTATCATGATCTACAGAGTGAGTTCCAGGACAGCCAGGGCTAGGCAGAGAAACCCTGTCTCAAAATAATAAAGTATCACAAAGAAAACAAGCTAACATCCCCTCAAACAATTAAACTGAATTCCTTAAGGTCACCCACTTTAACAGTGAGTCTTCTGAGTTTCAGATGGCTTTTGGGTGGGTCTTTCAGTAAGATTATTGGCCACAGAAGAAAGCCCTCAAGGTCATCCTGGGTCTGCTCTCAGGCTGAAGTGGAAATAGTGACAGAGGAGGATTGTAACAATTTGCCAGGAGTTCCTTCGGAGGCACTCACCAAGTCCTAGAAGTTCCTAAAAGGTCCCTGAGTACAGTGTCCCTAGTGTTCAATGCAAGGGAGGAGGATGTGGAAAGGCCTGACATAGGGCAGCCATGCAGTGAGGAAAAGTGCTATTACTAGGGATCTGGTGGGGTAGGGTACCTACTGTGTTCCTAAGGGTCTCTCTGCATCTCAGCTTCTTACCTCTGCCTTGGACAATCCAGAAACTGCAACAGAGCGCACCAGAAAATATGGAATTGGGGGTATGGGACCCAACAGACCACTCTTGAAGGCAAATGAATCTAGTTAATGATGGTGGCACAAATAGGCCCAACTAGAGCTTCAAACCCTCTGGTGACATTTTCCTAAGTGACTGCTTGATGTGGAATCTACCTTCCAAATCAAACCTTATCATTGAACGCAGACATATTTTCTTTTGGAAGGCTAGACATGAACTCTCACAAATGATGGGTTTTCAGACAAGACTGGATGGTCCGTCATGAGGCTTTTACCATATCCTTAAAGGTCACTTTTACTGTGCCCATCCCAACAGGAACTAAACATGTCTGCCTGGGCTTTGACTGGGAAGTTTGCCTAGTAGTAAATTCTCTCTGAAACCTTTTGAGTGTATCCTCACCGTTTATAGACCAAGTTAGCATTTTACACAAATTCGTGCAAAGAAAGCTGTTCTGTCAGGCACATCTTTCTACCTGCAACTTTGTACTCTCGGTGTGGAGTATGAATGTTGAGGAGAGGACTAACGTCACGGTCAAGGCCAAAGAGATCATCAAATACTTGTGTGCCAGCTTGTACCAAGACCAAGTGCCTTGCTGTTCACAGTGCTGTGTTTTTAAATGCTCAGCTGTTATATGCACACCTATAAAGACTCCCTGCACTACTGATTGTCAGTGGAGTCTAATGAGGAAACACTGATCCTGGAGGGTTCCATTTTGGCAT